TCGAAAAACAACTTATTCTACATTTAAATATAAATTCAATTTTCAGTCAAAAAATCACAAAAGAAATGCAAAAAATATAACAAATAAGAGACATGCGATTCAAATGTGTGTTTGTTTTCATAAATAAAATGATTACTAAATAATGCTATTAATGATTGAGAATAATATCAATAATAATAATAATTAAAGACTAAAAAACAAAAAACAATCATTCAATCAATGAATTGACACAAAAATGGTAGCGAAAAATATTTTCGGCCCAAAAATAGACACAAAATATATAGTGTTTTATAATTATATTAAATTGCAATTAATTACTCGATAATAACTTCATTGACACGAAATGTAATGTAGTTTTTGTAGTTGTATTCAAATATAATTTAAACGTCTAATCAATGGTATGGAATGTCCAGCTCTACAGTGAATAGCGATGACTTCCGGTGTGACTACCGGTGATTACCCCCGCGCTTATGACCTCAGGTCACGAGGACATAAACGCCGACCCGGGAACGGGTGCACAGCTCTGGGCGACCATCGCTAACGTATGCGCTGCCGATGTGTGAGAATGTTTAGCGGCGGCCGCGGCACCGGTAGGTGTAGTGCTACCACCACTCATATGATGCATATTATTGTGATTATCGCCTAAATTATTATTATATTACCGCTACCGCTATGCGACTGATTATGTTTGCTATTGTTTAAGTCCTTTCTCTCCCGTTCCTTACGTCTGGCCTTCTTTTTCTTGCGGTCGAGAATCGCCACTTCGCTCTTGATATTCATATACGTCTTCTTCAGCTCCTGTAGCCTCTCCTGGAGTATAGATATGCGTCGGTCGGGGTCTGCGCTCTTGTCTAACGGCGCGCAGAAGTTGTACTTCGATTCCGGCACGAAGTCGTTGAATGATATCTGCGATACACTGAATGGTAGTCTATGTTCCAGTGCTGTCAGTGGGGACTGTCTGTCCATTCGGTGACGGCCTATAAGTATCAACAAAACAAAAATCATTTAAATTACAAAATCACAAAACAAATAATAATTTATTCACTAATTATTGTCTATAAAATACATATAAATCAATAAATTGAAGGGAAAGGGGTCTTACCAGTAGAGCCGCGAGTCTTGCATCCAATCCTCTCCTTATGATGACTGCCATCGGACTGGGATGTAGTCCTTACGCGACCTCTGCGTCGCTTTTTCGGCGAAATGGGACTCTTATTACACTCAGGCCTGGAGACCATACTGTCCTCGTCGTGAACGGGCGATGGGAACGACACACCGACGCCTTCTTTCATAGACTCATCGCCTTTAGCGCCAGTCATTGGGGTCTCGTTTTCCATCTCAGAGTTCGAGCCACCGCTGCCTCCCTTTCCTCCGTCTTTGGTGCCACCATCGCCAGTACCGGGCGATTGAGTGGGTGTCGAGTGGTAGCTATGAGGGGACGACTCCTGCAGTGGTGACGACGAGTCGCCTCCCGTTCCCGTCATACTATCCATGTGATCATCGATTTGCATTGGCTTTTCAGGACTGGCGGGAACTGCCTCTTCGCACAACAGGAAGTCAGTGGCTGTCGTGTCGTGAGAGGCCGGGAGTATGTCTTTCGTGAAGTTTGGCAACAGCTTCACGTCATCGACGGGCGACACATCGGACTCCTGAGGGCCGGGCGATGACGACGAGCCAAACGCCGGCGCCGATTGGTGTTCGAAGAGCTTCTGGACCTCAAGATTGCTGTCCTCTTCGTGCGAGAGCTCCAGTTTCGCCGGTTTGTTGGTCTGACGCTTCTTCGGCGCCACTGCTGGCGGTGACGGCGACTCCTCGTCCTTACGCTTCCGTCCCTTCCGTTTCTTATTGTCCGCCGCTTTGGTGGTCACCGACTGATCGCTACTCGACGACAGACTCTTCACCACAGACTTCGCCCCAAACCTCTTCTCGTCCACCACTTCGGGCACAATATTTGTGGCCATTTTTGTCGGCTTTTCCTCTTCGGCTGTGGTTTCATCGGTTGAAGACTTATCTGTCGTCGACTCGACCGCTGATTTGCGACTCTTTTTGGCCGACTTTCGCGCCGACAAACTCGTGGAACGAGTGGTCTCTCGAACCGCAGTCTCCGGCTCTTCGATAGCTGTCTTCAGGGCTGACCTCCTGTTAGCGCCGGTAGTGATGCTCTCGTCCTTAGCCTTCCTCTTCTTCTTGAGCTGCTCTTTGAGCGGTTCCTCATCTCTGGCCACGTCTTCCTCGTCGTCGAAATCAAAGGCATCCTTCACTGGACTCGAGAACTCGTCGCTAACACTCCTGTCCTTCTGGTCGCCCGAGTGTTGCAACGACTCGTCCGTCTCTGAGTTGTCCGTCGTCTTCATTTGTGGCAAACATTCCTCGAGATGTGTCTCCAATTTGATGGCAACACTGGCTCCGTCTCCGGCGCCACTTTCACCGCCTCTCACGACTTCCTCGTCGTCGTCCGCCATCTTATTTTCTACTGTATTCTCGTCGTGCAGTTCCGGTGGCGTCACACCTTTGGTCTTCACGACATCCCTGTCCTCTTCGCCAGACTTATCGTTTGACTCGTTGTCCGACAATTGATTTGTACTCTTCTTGTCTTCACTGGATTTGATGGTCGACTCCTCAGCACTGGTGGCTATCGAGTCCTGCGTCGACTGCTCCTCATTGACGGACTTACTTCGGGTTAACTTCTCCTTCTTCACCGAAAGGGGTGGTCGACCGCGTCGTCCCACTGGACAGGCATTCAAAACACAAAAAAAAACATAAATAAAACAAATACTAAACACTCGTAAGAGTGAACCAAAAAATGGTGACAAACCTGGTGTGGAAGGGGTCGGCGTTTGAGGTGTAGGTGCTGTTTGAGGAGACTTTGGTTGAGATTGTTTCTCATCGCGCGATGAGGGCTGAGATTTCGGCTCTTCCTTCACAATAACCTCTGTTTTGACACTCGATTTGACACTATTTGGCGGACGACCTCTTTTGGGGGCCGGCGTTCCCGACGACTGTTTGGCGGGCGATACGGACGACGTGGTGGAGCCGTCGAGCGCCGAGTCGTTCGAGTGCACCGATGAGACCGAGTTCTGGGACGACAGCACCGGCGGGCCGACCACTGGCGCCGACTTCTCGGCGGGCGCTGCACCGCCGCCCGGAGGACCTCCCGAACCACCGCCAGTGCCCGCGTTAGGCGGCACGGCCACCTCGTTCAACGTCTCGCCCTTATTCTTGAGTTTCCCGGACCGGCGTCGGGGGGACCGGTCTCTGATCACCTGAACGATGCGCGACTTCTTGATCCACTCGTCGTACCGGGAGTTCCAACCGGAGTAGTGAACGAAATACTTGTTTTTGTTGCTCTCTTTATCCAACTCTATCTTCAGGACCTTCGCCTCGTATACCTTCAGCTGTCGTCCCCTTCCGTACTTCACTTTGAGGCCATCGCCCACTTTGATCATCGACTCGTCCACTGTTTTGCCTGTTTTTGCATTCAAATCACAATTCAATTAAAATATAAACAAAACAATCAATCGCTCAGTGAATGCATAAACAAATGACACTTACTTTTGCTGTACTTCTTGTCGTCCTCCTCATCGGACTCGTCAATAGTCGACTGTCCGGTCATCGTGTCCTCGTCGACGGCACCGGTAGGCGGGACCTCATCGTTGGGCTCGTCCTTCTTCTTGCGACCTCTGCCTCGTTTGCGTTCTTCAAAGGGCGCCAACTCTTCGGTCTTCACACGACTACTACTCGCCTCCTCTTTCACGGGAACCTCTTTGGCGGCGGACTTCGTGTCCT